AACCTCAGCCTGAGTGATTGATCCAACCTTCTCTGTTGGGACTGATCAGCAGACCCCGAGGGACGGATGAATGGATCACTCTAACACACATTTCTGTGAAAGAGAGGCTAAGGGGCTGCTTGGCAGGAGGCACCAAAACAGCCCTGATTGCCTGCCTCCTTAGACTTTTATTGCAACAACAGCTTGAACTAAAATTAAGTATCCTTGAGAAAGCACATGCTTCTACAAGGTTGGGTTTAAAGACTAAACATAGAGATTCCAGCAAAACACCCAGGGGCTCGGACTTGTTTGGAAAAGTCAAGGCAGGGGCTGCCGCCTTCAGCAAGGGTCCCCTAGAGGCCACTGACCTTTCAGAGAATCCTCCTTACAGACTTTCCAATCAAGTCCCGTGTTTCCCCACACTTCTCTGGTCTTTTTCTTTTACAGAGCAGGTTTTTCATCACCTGCTGACCTGTCTGGCTCCTCATAGTCCATCTCATGATCACTTTCTGGAATTTCCAGGGCAGATGCACTCATTTCAGAGACATCTCAGTCTCCATGCCAACAATCGTTCTGGTTTTAACAGCCCTTGTCCTGGTGGAGCTAACCTTCCGGTGCTCATTCTTGATCAGGGAATGGAAGTTTGAGGAATATCTACAATTTGGAAGAGGGGAATGTAGCACAGCCGGTAAAAGTGAAGCAAAGTGCAGAAAGGGAAACAATAGGATAGTCTGCCATGGGGCCAGGGAGGAGAGTCTTGAAGCCAAGGGGCAGTGTGGCCAAGTGAAGACTAATGAGAACTGAGAACAGACTTTTCCCACTGCAGTTTCCTAGACCTTTGACCTCTTAGCTGTGCGCTGCCTCCAGGCCTTTCACTACCAATACTTTGGAACACTCCAGCTACAGGAGTCTCCCTCAAGTATTCCTTCTACAAATCTCCTAGTCTGGCATTCACTAGGACTCCTGTCTTGCAGCTAGTCTCGATTTCTCCAGCCTTTAGCTGAAGTCCAGAGGATTTTCTCCCTGTCTTCCTCATTCACTCCAGGGTGGAAGCTGGATTGGATTGGGGGAGATACCAGAAGTAAGGCCTACATACATAAGCTGCTGACACAGTCCACTAAAGGTATTAAGTCAGCAAGAGAGGATACTTTCGAGGTATTTTTAGTGTATTTAGAGTTGGTGCAGACAAAACAAACATTGAGGTTATTATAAAGGTTCAAGGCTACGTGGTACATTTTTACTAGAGATACACTGGAGAATGTCTTTGAAAGTGCATAGCCAAGCTGAAGCCTTACACAAATGTCTCCTTTGTTTAGGTAATTTGGGAATTAGCCATTGCAAAAGACAAGTGATCTTTGGGTACTCCACCGCAACTAGTGCGGACTGCCAACAGCAATAAGTATAAATTTTAAGTGTGATTGAATGAGCGGCCACCCGACCTATAGGGCCCACGGACCCGGGAACCGACGAACTGAGGAACTGATGGGGGAGAAAACAAGCGCTCCCCTCCCACCCCGACTCCCAAACGCTCGGGACAAAAGAACTACATTGCCCATAAGGCCGGAGCTCCCGCGGGGCATCCTGGGTCGCGTAGTCCGGGTTCCACAAGTTGCTCACGCTGGAAGCTGCCGGAGACACGCCTGCGCCAACATGGCGGCGCCTATTCGGGGCCCGTCTGTTCGCTACGGGTTTGGGCCGGGGCGGGGGTCTGGGCTTTAGGCAGTAAGTGGAGCTGGCGGCCGGGGTTCAGGGGAGGGACCTGGGAGGCGTAGGGACCGTGTGGGCGGCACGGCCTGAGGAGGGAGAGGCGAGGGACTTCCGAGCCGGCCCGGGGACGCGGAGTTCTGGCGTCGGGTCAGTGGTCCTCGGCAGGAGGACTTCGGCCTCCTCGCGCCCCGG